AATCTTTTGCAAAATGGCCACCTTGATGGCATCTCCGTAACATTTCAATCCCATTTGAGTTACTGGGCCATTCATTTCGAACAGGTCTTTGGCTTCTACAAGCGTTTCTCATGTGTCCCGGTTTGTTGCAGTTAAAACATATAATTTGCTTTGGTGGTTCGCTCCTTGTGTTCCTTTGGTTAGGGGTTGTTTCAACGCGAGCCCTCACAGGCTGACTTACTCCTCGGCACTCTCTGTTACTTGAAGGGTGTAGTAAATACTCGATTGCTTCCTCCCTTTCGGCGAGTTTTAATGCGTCTATCAAAGTTTGCAGACTTCCAGACAGCACTCTTTGTTTTATTGGCATTCGAAGTCCTAGGGTGAATTGAGTCATAATATCTTCGTCTAATTTGTCAGTGAGTATTTTCTCTGTTGGTTGCTGCAGTTCCAGTTAATGTTACCGTTCTGTTTCTAATTAACTTCAGCCTTGTCAGAAATTGTCGACATGTCTCTCCATTGCGTTGTCTGCATTCTATAAATTCTCTAATTGTAGTTCCTTGTACATTATACGTCACAAATTGCTTCTCCAATCCTTCCTTGAGTGTGGTCCAGCTAGTGGATGTTTTTAGAGTCGGCTCTGATTCGATAAATTATTTGGCTTTATAACGTTATTTTGGTCTAACTTCTATCTGTCTTCGGTATTCCTCTTCTTTGTATCTCTTTCTGTTTCCCATTTTCTTCTTCCTGCATTTCTTTCTTAGGTCTTCTTTCTTCTTGTTTTTTTTTCTGTCTCCGATCTTCTTCTTGTTTTTCTTTCCGCCAGTCTTATTCTTGTTTATCCTTCTGTCCTCTTGTCGTTATAAAAGTGAAGCAAGCCGGTTCTGTTCTTTTTGTCTTTAGTCTTCTTCTTCTTGTCTCTTATCGTTTAAACTTTTCTTGGCGGTTTGCTGTCGTATTTAGCCAGGGCCGGCTCCAGGACCCGTGCAGCCTGTGCCCCTGCACAGGGCGGCAAAATCGAAGGGCGGCAAAAATCTCCGGGAGAATTGTTGTTCTAAGGACTGAATAAGTACGCAACTAGTTCTGCGCAGTTCCAGGATGGTTCGTGAATAGTTTGAAACACAAGGACCCGAAAGACCTATCGCTTGCCTGAACCGAATTTTCGCGACGAATGTAGTTCATCCAAAGACGTACCATGGTTCGTCTTGTGACGTCATGATTTTGAACGCTAGTTAGAAGCTGCGTTCATGCTTCTGGCGAACTATGTTCAATATGACGTCATGAGTTACTCGCGAAAGCGTTTGTGTTCATGAAATCATGGAAGAACGTCGGTTCTAGTTTCAGGCGTCCGCAACAATGACATTTCGTCCGCAAACAATTTGCAGGTTATGTTTTGGTGTTATTTGAGAGCAATGAACTATAAACTACACGTATTTGGAATGGCACCGACCGTTGTCGGATATGGCATTTGTATGACATTTGTCATCTCGCTTAGTGCGTCCAAAAAAGCTACATAGTGGGGGATTCCTTTCTCTCTCCAGTTCATTGCTGTTAGGTTTGGCATATTCCTAACCTCGAATAAAATATTTTTTAGACAAGGAAAGATTTCCATGATTCGCCAATAAGATAAATAGAGATGGGTGTACCCCACATTCTCCATCTCAATCTACCGCAAATTTATAGATCCGCGGGCCATTCCAGGTACGTGTAGTTTATAGTTCATTGTTTGAGAGTTGCCGCCAATTAGGCGATTCGAATCAGCTGATAAATCAAGATGGCGACGAGGCCCGAAATGTAAACAAACATTGCCTCCATATAAATGTGTGTTATTTCTACCTGTTTTTGAGAGTTTAATTTGATGAATTTCAATTTATTTCAATTTCCTTTAATGTTCGTTAAAACCGCGAGTTACCTACTTGGAATATTTATCTACCAATACAATACCTGGGCATCGGGTACAAAACGGACCCCAAGAAGCTGTGCAAATAAATGTCAAAAACATAAATTAAAAACGCCAAAAATAAATATTTCTATCAGAAAACCTTCTCAACTGATAAAAAGAGTTCAGAAATTTACATAAAATACACACACAGTCCCTTATGGGCGTCAAGTCTGTTATGCCTCGGTAATTTATTCCATAAAAAACTTAAAAATAATAAAAATATAGTATAAGGTACTTGACCCAAATAAGGCCATGTACCTAATAAGGCCAGTGCCCTTTATTGATTAATATTGATGAATCCCATTTACAAAAATTACAATATTATTAAAAAAGAAATCTATAATGCAAATCAAAAATTATTACAAGGGTTCCTAGCAACTCGTCATAATGTCGAAAAATGGCCAACCACATATTTCATATGTCACGTTATAACTTTGAGGCTGAAACTCAATTAGCTTATATAAGTGTCTATACTGTCTATGAAGTGAATGGAGCGATTGTAATTTTTCAACGGACATTTATGTATTGAGAAAGCTACAGAGTAAGTACAGAATAATATCTTTGTTAGATTTCTAGTTATAGACTTTTTTTTATCAATTTAACATGTTCCTAATAAGGCCATCATACGAAAATAGTTCAATTGGCCTCACATCACAGTGTTTTTTCAAAAGAATGTGTCATAATATTACTTAAGTGATGTTTTTTAAAATGCCTGGAGTCTAACTAAGCAAGAGCTGCTGCAGTTCCGTGTATCCTAGTTGTAATATGTAGACCTATTTGGATCACCATCCCAGGACTTGGAATTATTGTTTTTTTAGGAATGCAGCAAACGTATACGTTCTATTTTGTGTACTATTTCTCAAATAACAATATTTTTATAAATAATTGTATTTATTTTAAACATTTTTTAATAGTGGCCTTATTAGGAGCAAAGTGATTCAAATAAAGCCAATGCTAAGCGTCTTTGTTTTACGCAAAAACCACCACTTATATAAAAATATAAATAGAATGCAGTTAATATTCAAGTAATAGAAGCGAAACACTTCACATATAAGCTCGTGATTTTTGTTGGGTTTGGTGGATAATGTTAGGAAAAAATAAAACTTCTTAATGTGGCCTTATTTGGGACAAATACCTTATATCATATAAAAACACTGGACAAAATTGAAATCAAAAGTAAATTTAGTAAATAGGTAGTAATGGAACTATACAAAGTAGGAAAGTAATCGGTAAGAGGGGTGGCAAAAATACCTTTTGCACGGGGCGCCGGAATATCTGGAGCCGGCCCTGTATTTAGCATATAATGTAATATACCTGTATCTCTCCTAAAACTCTATTTTGAATCTAAGGTCTGTGGCGAAGTCAAATTTCCAAATAGAACACTATGGAAAACTACAAAACTCCTATTGACTGCTCTAATAAGACTTAACTTTAATGCTTTCCACCACGCGCTATGTATAGTCGAAATTCAGATCTAGCTAGAAAAACCCGGCGGCCGATTCGCTCGCAATAGAATTCTCTGAATAGCCGCACGAGATGTTAACAACTTGATTCCTAAAATCCGGCCGGACTCTCGAGGCAATTTCGTAATAAATTGCTGGAGAGCCTAACAGAAAAAAAAAAAGGAAAATAAGGAGAATATGGGTCTTATCGGTGAATTGATTTACTGCAGGGGATTACCACCTCGCGGACTCCCGGTTGGCCAGAAAGTAGCACTATGCACTAGATGCACCATTCCTTCGATAGCTTTTTGTTGTCTCCTCACAGGATTTTACTAGAAAAACATTTCCCCTCAATACATTTTTTGACGTGTTTCGTCGAATTTCAGAAATTTGTCTCTTTACGCAGATAACGTAGTGACAAGTTTTGAAATGAAAGCCCTGTATCATCCACCCTCAAAGTTATTTGCAAGTCAAGTGAGGTTCCCTAAACGGTGTATATTGGTACTGTCTATAATTTCCAATACCATTGGTATCCGAGACTGGGGTGGAAATGTCCATATTTTCACAAAAACCCTTTTTTCGATTAATCGCAATTATTAGTTTTACCCGCTTAAACCACCCTCAAATAATTTACAAGTCAAGTGAGGTTCCCTAAACGGTGTATATTGGTACTGTCTAGTCGTCCAATACCATTGGTACTCGAGACTAGGGTGGAAATATCCACAATGTCACAAAAACCCTTTTTTTCGATGAATCGCAATTATTAGTTTTACCCGATTAAACCCCCTGAAAGTAATTTGCAAGTCAAGTGAGGTTCCCCAAACGGTGTATATGGAAATGTCCATATTTTCACAAAAACCCTTTTTCCGATTAATTAAAATTTCCTACTGAACTATTATAACCATATAATACCATGGTTACGATAATCATAAACAGGGTCTTAATTAAGGATTTCATAACTCCCGCGCGGGAGTTAAGGATATCATAACCCCCAAGGGAGTTAAGGATTTCCATAACTCCCGCTTTTACCTTGAATAGGTGAAATTTTGACAAAAAATAGAAATTTTGGTTTATGGTTTATTCCTTTATAAAAACGGACAAAATACAGTAAATTCAGTAGGACATAAAATTATCTATGTACCACGGGAATTATCAGGTGTTAATACCCACGGGCAAATGGTGTCCCTCGGGCCGAAAGCCCTCGGGACACAAACTTTGCACTGGGGTATTAACACCCTCATAATTCCCCTGATATACATAAATAACTATTACCTCCTTGAACCACCCTCAAAGTTATTCGCCATAGTCAAGTGAGGTTCTCTAAACGGTGTATATTGGTACTGTCTATAACTTCCAGTACCATTGGTATCCGAGACTAGGGTGGAAATGTCCATATTTTCACAAAAACCCTTTTTTCGATGAATCGCAATTATCATTAGTTTTACCCCCTCAAACCACCTGTATATATCTGGAATGTGTATATTATAAACCTTCATAACATGGCAAATTATAGTAGCTGCGCTGTGAATCTAACATCACATTGCCATGTCTCATACATGTGAAATTAAACAAGCAATAAGAAGCATGCAACCTTGGCGTAATAATTATTATTGTTGCTTCAATTTATTGTTGATTTTCAGGATGTAATGTCTGAAAGAGCAGAACAAATCAAGTACAAAAAACAAGAAGCTGAGGAACAGCTGAAACTGAAAGAAGCCGAGAATGAACTTCTGAGGATGGCTTATGAGACAAATGGAAGACTCCAGGCTGAGAGTGATAGGTTGGAGTATCAGGCTGTGGTTCAATACAGAGAGGATTTACAGAGGCAAATTGAATATAATAATGTATTGAGGGTAAGACACGCTGATTTTTAAGATCCTGTACTTACCTTAGTATGCTTAGCCATTTAAGATTTAAGTGATTATGTTCTTTTTTTAAGAGACGGGAAAAGGAAGAACTGGAACGACAACTAGCAGAAGGCCTAAAAGAAGAAGAAAAGTACAGAAAAATTGTAGAACAAATGTTGAGTGGTGAAATTGAAGTCGGACGTAAACATCCATTCAGAAGGGCTTTAGAACGACCTGATTGTTACTGCCCCACAAAAAACAAATAAAAAAAATTATGTTGTTAGTGTAATGAGTGTGTAATTTTTCAAATACATATTGGTAATTGCAATAATTAGATTCTCATAATAATAAATTAAACAGTCGCATCAACGTAGTGTTTTTCTCCATACCATTCCTTGTGATCATTCAAAAAGCTAAAAAAAAAACACAAGAATAATTATTCATAATATTTCTTATTAATTAACTCACTCAATAATTGAATCAACGTGACTCAAAATAATTTTCAACTTAGGGTCAGGAATGCTGGTTCGTCCAAGCAACTCTGGAAGCTTTACAAAAAGTCTCGCAAAATGTATGGCCCCATAAACTAAACATGGAGGTGGAGGTTGTTGGATTTTGATAGGATCGGGGAGAAGACGCCAGGATAATGCCTTTGTCATGGGTGCGTTTATGTCAGAATTACTGCTACCGATACTAGGACATCGTTTCGCATGATTAGTCCCATTCGTTTCTTCAACCAATGAGTTTCCGTTTGTACGTGGTTCAATTCTGTTACTGGACCTCAGAGTCCTGCGTCTAGGGTTACCGGAAAATGTTCCATTTTCAGTATTATGGTTTCCATTGGGGATTATGTTATTAGTACTGATGGCATTGTTTTGCTCAAGTTTTACGCTGAGAAAAATAAATGAATAGTTATTTTTTTTGCTTGGTGTTTATTTTAGGAACTTACCTAACTTTTACTTCTTGTAAATTGTATGGCATAACAGCCGGCTTTGTAATATAAAGTCCATCATCTTTTTCAACTTTATACAGAAGTAATTCGTTAACTTTAAAATCGAAATATATCCTTAAGCCATCTATTACTTCACGACATAAGGTTAGATTCTTTTGTATGTCCTCCGTCTTTGGTTTACTCTCTTTAATATTAAGACTTGTGCGATTTCTTGAATGAGACTTCTCATTCAGACCACAAAACTGATTAGTCACGTAATGCCTGTAATACGATTCTAAAATAGCTACCACATTCGGTTCTGTGGGCAATTTTAATCTCTAAAATAAACCAACGGTTATTATTTAATTTAAATTAAATGGGTATATTTATATTCTTACTCTATTTTTTACATTGATGAGATAATAATCTGCCTCCAAAATTTCCTTTAGCTCTGGCACAATTTCAATAACAATCTCGTCATCTTCCACTGAAGAATTATCAGAGCTGCTGCTCATTTCTGGGTTATCATCTGTATCCATATGTGCAGGACTACCAGAACTACCTTCTTCTGAAGAACCTATTGCGTTTTCTAAAGGTTTCGGTTGGTTATGTTTTTTGCGTTCTTTACGGTATAAATAAGCGCCCCTAAAAACAAAGTAGGTACCAATCACTATTCAAAATTGTTCGTTAGAATGCAAATTTCCAGTTTTTAGTATGAGTTACCAAATAATTAAAGGAACATAACCTCAAAAGTAGATGGACCTAGAACTTTCCCCTTTAGTGCTTCTAAAAGAAGTTAAAAATATCATATAACTTTAAACCTACCTTCAATGGTTTTCTGTCAAAACGAAAAATATTGGCACACTCTAGATTATGTTATTGTGAGGAAGGACCGACCACCGACCATAGGTTAATATTTTCAAAGATGAAATACTATCATAAATTAAAATTACTTAGGGAATGACTCAATATTTAAAACCTTAAAGAACCCGCAACGGCTGCCAGAAAAACTCTTAGACCGGCAGACCTTTCCGACAACATAGATACCCACTAATACCGCATGAAATCAGCTATAACACAGAGACTGCAAAAGATGTATTTGGTACGGAATGCTCTCGAAAATCACCTTACTGGTTCAGCAAATCCGATGTACAAATTGTACCGCTTTTGAATATGTAACAGAAAGCTATGAAAAACGCAATCAACAAGTCCAATGATGTTGGAGCTCAAAATAATCTAATAGTCACAAAACGTCAAGTTCGTCAAAAAGTTAGGGCACTCAAGGACAACTGGTGGGCGGAAAAAGCTAAGGAAATATGTACAAGGTTTTGCTGATAACCGTTATAACATAACACCAAACTGTCGAACTAAGGAGCAAAATTAGCCCAGCACTGTCCCAGGAATTGGCTGTGCAGAGGGAAATGCCAAAGGGGTCAATTTTGGGTCCTTTTCTGTTTAATGTATTCCTCATAGACTTGAAACGCAGCATAGAGTATTGTAAAGTTCATTGTTACGCAGATAATGTACAGCCACTGTATGATTTTAACTTTCAAGACATCGACAAGGCCGTTAGTTCAATCAACGAAGATTTGTGAAGTTTAATCCAATGGCCAAATATGAACGGTCTCAAAGTTAATGTGTCTAAAACTGATGCCATTGTGTTTGAAGGTAGAAGGAATGTGAAAGAAATCTTGGCTGGACAGCTTACCTTGAACGGTGAAGCATTGAGATTTAGTGATATGTTAGAAACTTGGGTCACAAAACTGAACTATGCAAAACAAGTGCTTAAAGTAGATCTTCTTTTCTCTAACATTAAAAGGACTTTATAATTTAAAAATCTTCCCCAAAGTGCAAAGTTAGAACTGTGCGATTTTTCAATACTCTCCAAATTAGACTACTGTGACACTGTTTATAGACCGTGTTTGCGTGCTGAAGATGCAAGAAGGCTACAAAAAATTCAGAATTCTTGCGTTCGTTTCGCATTACAAATCCCATGAAGAAACCATATTTCTCCATACTTGAAAGACATTCAGTGGCTGAGCATGAATGAAAGAAGATGGGTGCATCCTTTGCATTTTCACACACAAGGTGATTTTTGTAAACAACCCAGATATTTGTATGAAAAGTTGGAATTCCAAAATATGGCTCATGCAAAGGAACTTACAGATGACACCAAAGTTCTTGAGAGGTGGAAAGATCATTACTCAGAGGTCTTTAATCAAAACAACGATACCGAATTATCAATCCTAGATCAGCTCTCCAAGTACTCACCAAGAATAACTGGAACATTTTCTGACCAATAAGAAGTCATAAATTAGAATATGGGTTGTTACATGTTAACGATGTCAGAAAAGTGTCAGATTTGAGTACTCGCCCCTTTATTGATAAAGTCTAGTACTCATAACCGCGAAATTTGGTCTTTTTGACACTGCTTCAACAATTTGACGTTTGATTCGCGCATAAAACGTCAAATTATTGAATTAATGTCAAAAAAGAGCGAATTTCGCTGTTATGAGTACTAGGCTTAATCCTGTCAAAAAAAAAAACATATGTTTTTTGTTTATTGTTTGCCAACCAGACGCCATTTGGACAGGTCGTTGGATTGCCTGATTTGTGCGTAGAGTCCAAAATCGAAACTGTTCGTGGGACGATTTCTCGACGTGTTGGAACAGAGTTATTATATTGGTTACAAAATAATTCTGTTTTACTGAAATTTGAGCTGATACGTTTTTTGGAAATCTGAGAGCAAGCGACCTATTATCCAGGGGATAGAGAACGACTAGGAACAAGAAGAAATAAAAATTCCAGGAGAAAGATTGATACAAGCCAGTTTTTGTACTTGTTATCATCAAATTTTATGATACCTGTGCATGTAATATCGATATTTGTGAGGTTTAATCAGATTCTAAGATATGTATTAGTGAGTGTATCAGTTAATTTGATTTAATAAAAATCTTACAGTTGTAGTTGAGCTTTATCTGCCAAGTCCTTTTGAAGCTGTCTATTTTCAGGTGTGTCTTTTAGCACAAACTCTTCGTTGACCCGCCTGTCCCATGAAGGATTCCAACCCTTATGAAAAACAAAGTAAGAATTTGCAAGATAAAATGTAAGTAGAGGTTCGTGTACTACTTACCTGGAAATGAATCAAATACTCGATAATTTTTTTTCCTGACACTTGATCCTTGGTGATGACCACATCAAGAACCTTAAATCGGAAAAATTTTAGAACGGAAAATAGGCACCTATTGAGGTTCTTGATAAATTTCCCTACCCTTAAAGTGCTGCAGACTGCAGGGAAAAATGTTTTCAGTTAGCTTACCTTGGAATCATATAAGACCTTGGCTTTGGTGGTATCAGGCTCATAACACAACACTCTTTCGCCAATGAAAAATTTCAATTTGACTCCTCTCCGTGACACCATGCTTCACACGTTTTCTATTGAAATTTTATATAAAATTGAACAAGATAATGCAAAATTAGAAATGTTTTGTTGTTGTTGTTATGTGGTTTGAGGTTATGTAATGTGGGGATGTAAGAGCAAGGATTTTTAACAAGGAGGATAGCCTAGTCATGGTTTATCGAATTAGCCTCTGCGGTGACGTCACTAAGTGCAGAGTCGTCAAGGGGATAATCTATTAATGCGAATTTTCAATGAATGAGGGAATTTTCGGGAAGGTTGAACGAATGATACATATTGCATATTGCGGTTTTTATGCCCATGGAAAAATTTAATTCATTATTTCAGCACTCCTTGGTAGATTGGTTGCGAGTTTTTTTTTTTCCGCTTGGGAATTGCAGACACTTTCAGCTCAATAAGCAGTCCTAATAGGTATGTGTTCTTGTGCAGGGACTAAAGTGCCACCTGAAAGCAATATGGCTCACCCCTCAATCACCAAGTATTTGTGGCGCTTGTGAGTTAATAATTACTTTCTGAGTGCATAAATCAATTACGACCTATTGGAGGGAGGAGGGAGGCTCTAACACAAGACTGCCCTTAAAAAAAAAAAATGGAGAATTTCTAAAACCAATTGTTGATGGAAATAGGAAGTCTTTTTTCAATATGCGTTTCACTCATAAAAAAGGAAGATATTCCTGTTTCCATGTTTGCATTTTTAATGAATAAGTATTTTATACATTTTGTTACCTACACTATTTTATATTAATCTCCTTGAAACAATTTATTCAAAAAACAGTAGAAAATATTGAAAAAGGTCTAGGTATTTAATTTACAAAATAACTGTTACAAAAATGATTTACAGAACTTATTACATCTAAACAGCTCTGAAAATAATTACATATTATTAATCAAGAATAGGAAGTTAGAAATTATTAATTCTATTAGTAAGTCTTATGGATTTCTTTACAATTCTTCTTTAGGACTATCATCTAAATCTACATCCGACAAATCAATATCTTCCTCTGAAGGCAATTCCCCATCTTTACCGTCCCACGGATCTGTTTTTACAATATCTGGAATGGCTTGGCCTTTTACTGGAGCAGTGTTGCCTTTGCCATAAGACAAGTCTCTCAAAAATTCATAGATGCCATCCTTGGAGAACGAACCTCTCAATATAGAATACTTCATTTTTTTCGTATTAATTACTGCCATGGCAGGGTAACCGAAGCCTCCAATATCCACAGCCTCTTCTAGTGACGTTTGAGCTCCAGCTTCAGACCAAACCCATCCCCACATCTTTTTTTTGAACTTTTCACCCAAAGTTGTAAGCATTTTAATATAATTATTTCTGCATTCAGATTGACAGTCCAGAATATGAGGCAATACTGCTACAACACACAAAGGTTTCTGTTCACATTCTTTGGCAAATAAATCTTTAGATACAACTTGAGTAACTTCAGGTGCAGGAATGCTTTCGGCAAGTTTATCCAGAGCCCACGTTACAATTTCGCTAGCAGTTCTTCCACCATCATACTCGTCAGCTGATGAACTTGATTTGGAGCCAGCAGAAAAGTACTTAATCGTGGGGTAACCTTGAATTCCATATTGGCTAGCCTTAGCTTTGTGGATGGTGGCATCAAGAGCACCAAGTTTTACTTTGCCTTTCAATTCAGTGGCGGCCTTGGCCCAATGAGGAGCTAAGTTCTTGCAATGTCCACACCAAGGTGCAAAGAACTCAACCAACCACATATCATCTGATTGGAGTACTAGTTTATCGAAATTGCTGTCAGTTAGCTCAATGACATCATTGGAATCCTGAAAATTAACAATTTTGCAATAAAAAAAAGTAAAAGCTGAGATAAAAGGCTTATAAAGTAACTGAGAAATCATCTATATATTTTTTAAGAATCAACACAAAATATTTATTCTGTTTCATCAATAGAAATAGATTTTGAACGAAAATACGCGATCCTAAGGCCTAATTGTACAGGGTGGGACAATTTGGAATTTGGACACTTTTAATAGGAAACGCCAATTTCTGAGAGATGGAACAAAAAAACAATGTGCCCGCAGTAGAAATGAAACCCTGTATTCTGGGTAATTTGTGAAAAGGTAAGCAAAAAGACAGGGAGAGATAGAGATAAACATTTAATATAATAGTTATTTATGATATAAGTGCTAAAAGTGACATTTTATTTTGTGAAAAGGGAAGTTTGGAACACGACGCCGAAGGCGGAGTGTTCCATCCCTTTGAACAAATTAAAATTACTTTTAGCACGAATATCATACACTATTTTTTCTACAAACGCACTAAAAGTGATTACTTTTAGCACTAGTGCTAAAAGTAATCACTTTTAACACCAGTGTCATAAAATGGCATTTTAGACACTGACATCATGCGTTAAAAATGACACTTTTAGTGACGTTTGTAGAAAAAAATTATCTTTCCCACTACCTTACTAGAAAACGTCATTTTCAACACCTAAGCAAGTGAGGAAAATTGGCAGTAGAAAAAACTATATACATACTTCCCATGGTAAGATTTATTATAAAGTTTTTACTTGAGTTTTTATACATCAATAAAATTAGCTCCTATACAATTAACATTATTTTCATCATTTTCATATTCCAAACATGTTACTAATAGACCGGTGCATAACGACCATTTTTTTAAAACGATTTTCTCCCGTCTGCCATTAAGGGTGGTTATTCTTCATGCAATAAAAAGTGGAATGGCTGAAATTTCAAAGAGCCCCGCATGTGACAATACAATGATATGCTTATTTGAAAATGTAATGAAAAGTGGAGATTTGGATCAAAATTATCCCGTCTGCCACACATTGTGAGGGTAATTTAAACAAAAATTAGTAGAAAGAAGCTAAACGGCAGAAACCCTAGGTTAGTATAAAGTGTCATATTACGAATTTTGAAATGTCGCCAAAATCGGACATGTGGATCTGTGATGTGAATGAACGACCTCCCGTCTGCCAAATTAAAGTTATGTTACATTTACGATGTAATACATCAATAAGTAGATGGCAGAAAATCTCGGTTGGTATAATAATATTTAACAAACTTTGAAGTTGTATCAAAATGCTGAGATGTTGAAACAATTTTTTGTTACAATGGATTTTAGATAAATAATGTACCTTTAAACCGGCAGAAAAATTGAAGTGGTACAGATATTTATTTTTAATTTTTCAAAATGTCAAAATTTCTCAAATTTGAGATCAATTATTACCCGTCTGCCATTAATTTATATTAAATAAGTTGCTACCGAAAGCTTACGTTTTGACTGGCAGAAATTGCAGACTGGTACAGGATGGCCCGTTTAAGAGGGGCCTATACCTTATCTCGAAATCTACAAGGGCTGTAAAGAAAACTTAAATACAAAAGTTGTTTCTAATAAAATTATCTACAACTTTTTTGTATTGTTTTTGTTGTCACTCCACCATATACAAGGTGGACGAATAAAATTTCATTTTTTTTTGTGGAACAACCTATATTTTAATACATTTTTACATAGCCCTTTGAAAGGCAAATCCAACGATATACTGGTCATGTTTCTGTGATATACCGTTTCGAACTTATTAGCGATTATCTTCAGGATTTGGGGTAATTTCCAACAGTCATGATTACGTTACTCATAAATTTCAATTCAATTTCAATTTCAATTTTTATTCCAGGTGTAAGAAATATTACAATATAAAATATAAAACATATAAAATATATATCCTGCATGAGGCGCACATGCGTCTGTGAGCAGGCCTGGTACCTAAACTAAAGTTACCGTAAGAACTAAATTATTTAAAAATGCTTACTTATACTACAAGCTTTATAATATTTCATAAATTATTAATAATTAATGTAAAAGTGTAATAAGGTACAAAATTTCCAAATTTCACAAATGGGTGATGTTTTCATTTATTAAAAATTCTTTTATAATATGTTTAAATCTGTTATTAATTGTTTTACTTTTTTTTAGATTGTTTGGTAATAAATTGAAGAGTTTAATAGCATTTACTTCGGATGACTTTTTACCCACCTCCAATAGTGTTTGTATGCATGGAATATTTCGGTTTCTGGTGTTTGTTTGTCTACATAAATATTGAATTTTCAAGGAGTCATAATTTGTAATTAATGATTTATAATAGTAGTTTTGTTTAATTGTCAAAATCATCTTATTTTTATAGATTTGGTTTAGGTTCACACTTCTTATCCCAAAAATTATTTTAATAATTCTATTCTGTATATTTTGTACATAGTTTATCACATTGCCATATGCACATCCCCAAGAGACGATACCATATGTAGCCACAGATTCAAATAGGGCATAGTAGATCATCAGCAGGGTTTTTGTGTCCAATACATGTTTAAGGTTTTTAAAAACAAATAATAAATATCTTATTTTCTTATTTAACCCAATTATATGTTGCTTCCATTTCATGTTATTGTCCACCACAACACCTAAGTACTTAGTACTTCTAGTACATTCCAATGGTCTGCAGCTACACATGTTACATTCTCCATCCCGATCATGAATAACTATCCTAAGACTATCAGGAACTTTGTCATTATATGTGCCAAACAACATACAATTAGTTTTTCCTGTATTTAATGACAATCTATTTTTCCTCAACCACGATGCTATTCTATTGATTGACTTGTTAGCTTGATTCTCCAGACCCGCCCAACTCTCCCCCGACAGGACGATTGCAGTATCATCCGCATATGACATAATATGTGAGTCAACGTCTAACTCCAATAGATCATTCAAGTAGATTATAAAGAAAAAGGGTCCTAAAATGGTGCCTTGAGGTATACCCATCTTCACAGTTAATTCTGTGCTGTAGGTGCTGTTAACTTTTACCCGTTGTGTTCTATTACTTAAATAATTCCGGAGCAGATCAAACGCTGGGCCCCTCACTCCCACTCTATGCAACTTTTCTAATAGAATAGAATGATCAACCGTGTCGAAGGCTTTGGCCAGGTCTAGAAAAACAGCCATAGTCGGTTGACTCTTATCCAAACTACTGTATATTGTGTTAGCAAAAACGTTCAATGCATTGTTTGTGGACAATTTTTTCCTGAATCCAAATTGCCTTTTATTCAAAATATTGTATTTTTCAATAAAATTACACAGCCTAAAATGGATTACCTTCTCAAACACCTTAGCAATATTTGAAATTAGGGAAATGGGTCTATAGTTTGAAACTAAAAGCTTATCTTGTGCTTTGAATATAGGAATAATTTCTGCTTTCTTAAAATGATCTGGGCATATACCTGTGCTAATGACATTATTAATAAGCTCCGAAAGAGGTTTGGCCACAAAAGAACAAAGTGTTTGTAGCACCTTAACTGGTACACCGTCTACACCACCAGCTTTTCCCCTATTCAAATTTTTTATAGCTTTCCCTACCTCGAACTCATTTGTCAAAGATAGAAAAATTGAATTGGCGTTTGACTTTATTTTTTCCCTGTTTTCTTGTGTATTAAGATTAATTTTGTTAGCCATATCAAGTCCAACATTATTATAATATTCATTAAAAGTATTCGAAATATCTTGATTATCCGTGAAATGTACTCCATCATGCACAATTTCTTCAATTTCAATTTTTTTATCCTTGTATTTACCTATTTTTTTTTTTAAAACATTTATTTTTCATGATAATTTCTATAAAATAATGCTCTTCTTTAGACTATATTTAAAGGACCCCGCACACCTTACATGGGATTTTGGCGATCGGTCGATTTTTTTCAAATTTTGATATGTTGTAGAGAATTTAATTCTCAACAACCTTTAAATGGGACGAAATCTTGTAGGTATTACGGCCTTTAAGATATGAGCGTTGAAAGATTAACTTTTTTGCGACTTTTTGTGTGGAGAGTATACCATAGGAGTATACAAAATACTGGTGCCACTGGTGTTTATCAGTCAAAATATTGACCGGTTCACATATTTCACGTCACTTACAAATTAATGTCAACATAGGCTAAGGCCGGGACCACACTGGGACCAATGTTGACGCCAGTGCGGTCCCAGCCTTAGCCGATGTTGATGTTTGTGTGACATCAAATATGTGAACCTGCCAATGACATCATATTAGGTTTGTTCGGACTTAGTTCAGAATTAGTTCTGAATTGAACTGCGCATGCGCATTTGTTTATTTATGTTCGATATCAACAAATGCGCCAGCGCAGTTCAATTCAAAACTGATTCTGAACTAAGTCCAAACAAACCTATTACGTTTCACTATGGACCGGCCCTTGGTGGCGATTTATTGATTCCAACACAGTGCGAGAAGGATAGAGCTAATTGTGGCAAAACACAACGAGATTTGACGAATTTTACGCGCTTGTTGTTTTTATCAATAACATTGATTTTTATCAAGCAAGTTGTCAACGTTTTTTTAACGTTAATTTATTCCGATCGGTTTAATTTCGTTTTTTTTTTTCAAATATCACTCCCGGATCTGACTATTTTGTTATATTTGAGTGAAAGGCCAATGAAATATCAATTTGGTTCCCCCCTGTGCTGCATTTAATTGCAAAATAAGATGGCAGAATGACATCCTATTACAGCCCTTAGATAAAAATATGAGTGTTTACCACAAAGAGCTTCATCTCTGTCGGACCGCTCTTTCTAATGTTGGCTGCAAACAAACACTGTTCGAGAATATAGCCAGGGCCAGTCCATAAGTAAAATGTCATTGGAACTGCCAATATTTTGACTGATAAGCACCAGTATTTCGTATACTCTCCACACAAACAGTCGCAAAAAAGTTCATCTATCAACGCTCATATCTCAAAGACCG